TCCGAATATAAACTAAGCTACAGTTAAAACAAACAAATTCACGCAAAGCAGAAATTAAATACTTTAATTTGTATTTTAAAAATCCTTTCTAAATACTGACAAAATTTTCAATTTCCAGAGGTTACCCTGTAGATTACATTGGATCTTTGAGTTCAGTTAGTTCTTTCACATTTATAATAATGCAAGTGTCATTAGAAATATGCTCAAATCTTACCAATTAAATTTGTGTTTTGAAGTTTTTAAACTATCTTTACTCTACCTGTGCTCTTGCAATTCAGAATTTGAGATCCTTTTCAGGCTGTTTCCAGATGTGGTAAATACAGAGTGTTTTAAAGAGAATATTTTTATATGTCTTAGTAGTTAGCATTTGGGGACAAAGAAATTATTTTTATTGTTGCTTCTACATGGAAAAATAATGTGGTGATGAAGGAGGTGGTCATTCCTGAAGAAAGATTGACCTAACGTCTCCCCTTTCCTAGTTTTTAAAAAATCCTTAGGAAAATGGAGGAGGCGAACTATTGTGAAATGGAAATCTCCATAGACCCTAGACCAGAGCTGCTGAACTCATTTGTTACAAGGGCTGGGCCATGTGTACCATAAATGTTACTTTGTTGGGACAGGCCATGTGTACCTTAAAATGTAACACAAGGTACTGGAGATACAAGCTTTATAAAGGTGATTTCAGATGCTGAATGGTGTGATATGCAGAGCGGTAGTAGGTGTTGAGATACCAGCATTGGTAATGAGACAGGAAACCTATGTCTCAATTCAGTCCAGGCGGATTCAGTCCAGGAGGATGTAAAGAATAAATGGACATATTTTGTATTATTCTGTTCTCTTTATAGTGGCCCAAGGGCCAGATGGGTGTTTTGCTTTACAAACTGAGCCCATTTGCAACAATAAAGCTGGTACTATGAACTAGTAAGGGCTGGTCATTTATGGAACACATACTTTCATAATATTTCACACAAATGTACCCTATTTACCAGAAATGACTAGTTTTTCTCCCCTTGTGTGCCATTAAGAAAAGGTAAATGTGACACATTGTGTGCATATTAGCACAGAAAATGAAGAAATGAGATGTAAAGGAGGTGTGGGAATACCTCCTTTTTTGTAAAACTTAAAACCATGATGATTATCTTTCTTGTGAATGAACTATGGGTAAACTATTTGCTGTACCACAATTTAAAAATTGCCAGATGATATTGCCCATAGGGCCAATAGTTAGCCATTTGGAAAATAAGGTGATAAAGTGTTGCAGTTTTCTGAATGTGATGGTATCTTAAAGATGACTCTTTGCAAAACGATGCTGACATGTGTACCAGGAATCTAGGGGTAGCCCAATATAAGCTGGTAATAAAAGTTGTAGAAATTGACATTGGGTAAACATTTCCCCTTCTCTCCTCCCCTTGAGGAACGATAGGAATGTCACACTTTTAAAACCTTTTAAATCTTCCACATCTTGCACTGAGAGCCAGAATAACTTTGCTATCCCTTTACTTTATTGTATACGAGCCGTTTTCGGCCGGGAGAGGGATGGATCGGGGCCGCAGCAAATGGGCGCGATCCCACAGCAACATCTGGGAATCATGCTGCGCCCGTTCCCAGCCCGTCCCCAATCCGCCCCTACCGGCCAAAACCCGCGGCAAAAAAGAACCACCTACCTAGGTGGTTCTTTACGAAAGGCCGCATCACTGCCGGCCGTGGGATCGCCAGCGCGTCTTTTCGCCGGCACATCCCCGGCCCCCAACCGTACTACACATGCTCGAGCATGCGCAGTTCGGCAGCCTCCCCCTCCCATTCGTCTCTTCCTCCCCGACATCTGATCGTGCCGGGGAGCAACGGCACCGCGGCTCAGGGGATCGTGGGATCCCGCCACGGCGTCTCTTTTTTGGTGCGGCTTTTAAAAGCCGCACTTTGCCCAGTGTTTTCCCTGCCGTGTGGCAGGGGCCTGAGAGTCCTTTACAAGTATACTGTTGTCTTTAATAGTTTTTTAAAAAACACAACAGTCCCCCCCCAAATCCTATAAGAAGCAAATCTAATGTTGTTGAGCATTCTCAGGGAGCAAGAAAATTTGCTTTCCTGCCTTGCTGCTCAAAAAAGACAGAGGAGCCAGACTGTTCTCTGACCTCCCTATGACTCTGAGTACAGATGTCATTAGTGATAGCGAATTACTTGCAAAGGCACTCCAGAAGCCTGCCGTTTTCCTAAACGTGCCATTCTGCTTACCTGGGATTGCATGTGACTGCAGCCATCACTGACAGGGGCTACTCTACCTGCATGCTAATTTACCGAGTATGTATACAAACCTCCAAAGCAAGCTCTTGTCTGTGTCAGTTTCCATGGTGTTGTCACGCTGCTCCCCCTCGACAGCTTCACTTATCAACATTTTCCACCCGTCCTCTTCTGCATAATGTGCTGTTCATTCACCCAGAAAGTTCAGCTATTGTAATGATGGCTTGGGGGAGGGAAGAAGGCACGAGGGTGAAGAGGTGAGCTGTGTTCACAGAGGTATATGGGAACTTGGCTCTGTGACACAATGGGGAATTAGAAGACACTTTCCCTCTCACATTCATGCTGTGGTTTTTGAAAAGCAAGATGCACACAGACAGTCTGGATGAGTCTGAGGAAAGGCAGGTTGAGATCTGGCTGGTTTCAAACACACACAACCCCCTGTAACTGTATAAAGAAGTGGCAAGAACTTGTTAAAACAGAAGCTGTGTGTATCATAAAGGAGACACTGGATCATAATGCACCAATTAACATGCAAACCTTCAAAGCCAACATTTAATCAATATTCCAGCAGGAGAAAGTTATTTTCAGAATCACAGCCAGGCACACAAAAAAACCAACCCCTTTCGTCCTGTACAAACAAAGGACACCATTTTATATTATAAACACTCATAGATCAAATGAAGATGTAGCATTTTCAGAGCTGTGGTAGATAAGGACCAGGAGAAAGTTCCAACAGGAACTGTTCGACCGTATGCTTTCTGCCCATTGCAGTCATTTTAACCTTGAGAGAAATTTCCCATTTTACTTCTTTCGTTGATTCACCTCCTTGTAAAGGGGAAGGAATAATGTTGCCTGAAGCATACAAATTTCAAATGCAGTTAGAGTGAAAACAGGACTCAGTTGTGGCAAAGAACCTGCAAGTATTGCTTTCTATTGTGTATGATTTTTATCAGGGCTGGTGTCAAGGCAGGACTGCAGCTGATACATACGAAGCCCTTTGAACACCAGTAGAACTTTTCATGTTCAAAGTGCTTTATGTGTCTTATCATCACAATAACATCACAACAGCTGTATAAGGTAGACCATATTGCAGAATGGGAGATTGAGACTGACAGTGACTGGGCTAAGGCAACCTAGTGTGTTTGTGACTGCAGTGAGATTTGATTTGGCCTCCCTTTGAATCATACAGCTCATTTTTAAAATTTATTCTTTTAGCCACTAACCTGGGTACCCCAGGCCAGCCTGATCTCATCAGATCTCAGCTGCTAAGCAGGGTCAGCCCTGGTTAGTATTTGGATGGGAGACCACCAAGGAATACCAGGGTCATTCCAAAGAGACAGACAATGGCAAACTACTTCTGAACATCTCTTGCCTTGAAACTCCAAGGATGGTCCCCATAAGTCAGCAACGACTTGACAGCAAAAAAATGAATAAAAATAAAGCTATCATTGGCTCCCCTTGTTTGTATAAACTTGTACTTTGGTATGTTATTTAAGTCTTTCATTAGTTGTTTATGTCTAAAAAAAATGTCAGGCCTTATTCATAAAATTCAAAGATACTTCCAACAAGAACATATTAGATTAAAAGTATTAACCTAAAAGTACAAGCAAGAATCAGCCTGCTGAAACAGGCAAGCTGCATTTTTATGAGAAGTTAGCAGTGGGTTGCGCTTTCTGACCTCAGCAGG